TAAAAAAAATTAAATTTTTAAAAATTATATATTTCATCTAAATATATATAAGGGTATGAAGGTAAATTGTTCTCATACAGCTGCAGCACAGCAGTTCTACAGTTATGATATCCAAACAAAATATAATGATTTATATAAAGCAACTTCAGGAAGCAACTTTCTGTACAATAATTTCACAACCTACTTTACCGACAGCTGCAGCCGTCCCAAACGCACCCTAAAACATTCACGATCAACATTATAATCTTCCTTGATGCTTAGCATCTTCACAGCAACAGATAACTCTGAGTGAGTGGTGCACCCTTTCCAGATTAGTTGCTGGGCAGCATGCAACAAATCATAAAAATTTTGTGCCTCCTTATTCGGTAACTCTTCTGAATTTTGTTTAAATTGTATTCCAGTTGCATCATGAACTAATTCTTCAAGATTTGGTCGGATATTTTCAGCCTCAGCTATATTAGTACTTGTAGAAGGACCGCATTGAGAATCAAAATGTGGCTCGTACTCACCATAAGAAGTCCAATACCAATACCGTAGCATGAATCCTCTGCGATACAGATCAAAAGTTACATCATCTGGTCTTAGGTGCACTAGATTTTTATGTTTAGAACATGGACATCGAAACATTCCATCTGATATGAAGCTGGGTAGTTGTTTCGCTTGCTGAATGAAAATGTTCACCCCATTAATGAATTCATTTGTTAATGTCTTTCGTCCTTTGCGCCAATCAGTTATACATCCAACTTCTTTTATTTCTAATATTCATAACCTACATATAGGAGCAGATAAGTAATGGATTATAATAATTTATGTGATATTCATATATTAACTATCTCTTCTCTCTACCTCTCTCTCTCCCCCCCTTCTTCGATCTCATTCCCTCTCTCACTTTCTTAATCTTATATTCTCGTCGTATAGACCTAGTGAGAGGGACTTGAAGGTAAACTCGAATTATGGAAGTCAACTTTAGAGTATAAAGATTTTCGTTTGAGTAGATCTAAAACTGAATATATGGAGATATTAACAGTAGAATTCAAGTGATGGTAAAATAGATGGGGATATTTTGTACTGCATCGGGCTTGTTGTGCGGTAGAAAAGTCTCCCTCAAACTTAAGGGAAAACCTTTAGACTCTAAGGTTGACCTCCGTAATTCAAGTTTACCTTCAACTCCATCTCTAGTCTTATCAATAAGAAGAATATCATCAGCAAAAAAAATACACCAACGTATATCCTTTGTAAATGTCTAGTGAGAACATCTACGACTAAAGTAAAAAGATATGGACTTAAGTCTTATCCTTGATGTAATCCAACCGAAATAAGAAATTACTTCGTCAAACCACCTTGTGTTTTAACACAAGTAATAGCTCATGCATACATATTTTTAATGATTTGAATATAAGCGTTATTAACTCTTTTTTTTTGCAATAACTCTCAATAGCACTCCTCTTGGAACTTTATCATATGCTTTCTCTAAATCAACAAATATCATATGTAGATCCTCCTTATTCTCTCTATATTTCTCCATCAAACCTCTCAATAAATGTATGGCTTCCATAATAGACCTATACAACATGAATCCAAATTGATTTTAAAAATTTTATCAACAAAAAAACATCTAATAATATGTGCATCCTTTAGCAAATAATATGTGCATCCTTTAGCAAATGTCTAATAAGAAATAACATGAAGAAAAAAAATCTTACAATCGAAGAAATCAGGAGGCGACGGAAAATCGGGAGGCGGCGGAAACTAACGGTCGAATTTTGCGAAACCGGTCTCCTTTCGCCGGCGACGAAGGCGGTGATCGTCGACGACGTCCCGTGAACATCTACAAAGCTCGGCGACGGTGAGCTAGGGGGGCGACGAGAGAGAGACCGGAGATGCGAGAGAAATGACAGAATGAAATGAGCAGCCAGACGGGTCATGTTCGGAAATAGGGCTTTCGACGGCAGATTTTTTGGCGTCCTGGACGCCGGAACATTTTCCGGCGCCTTTTTTGTCGGTTCCAAGTCGTTGAGTTTAAAATAGCCGACGTATTATCTGCCGGTAACTGCGCTGGACCTAATCCGCTATAAAGTCCGCCGGTAAGAATGAAATGCTGCTAATTTCCGACATTATCACCGGCGCATGGGACGTCGGGAAGTTTCCTATGAGATAACTAAACCCTCCATTGTTGCCTCTATTAATTTGTAGCCAATGTGATAATTTTCTTTATGTAATTTATGAATTTTTATTAATTTGTGAATCTCCAAATCTCTTTTCACAAATATTTTAAAGAAAAAAATCCATTAAACTATAATAGCGTACATTGTCGAGAGAAGGATTACAATTTTTAATTCAAGTTAAAATATTCATACTTGGATTGCATAGTCATATATGTTAAATATATTTCTTCTTTTTATTTAATTATATAGTGTTATAGTTCTTTTTATTTATTTTATAGCGATGGAGAGATACTTCAAAAGAAAGACTAAAATGATTGAACATGAAGTTGTGATGATAGTAATAAACAATCCAAACATCTTTGTGTTGAAATAAATTTGGATGATTTACTTGTTGACTCTGGATTATGAAAAAAAATGTCTAATTATCATACAAATAATAGGTATTCAATGAGAAGAATTTACTAACAAATCTTATCAGCCTCATGATCATGAATTCCCATAAACACAAATTGGAAATAAGTTTTGTAGGTTTAATCCTGTGTGGTTTAATTATTATAAAGCATGCTTAGAGTACAGTATCACCAAAGATGCAACTTATTGTTTATTTTGTTAATTTTATAGGCAAAAAATAGTCGAGCAAGCTCATGGTGAAACTTTGACACAAAGGGATTTATAAATTGGGAAAAAAAAGATTTCAGGTTTATATTGGACAAGTTAATAGTTCTCATAACATTACATGGAGAAAATATCGACATTTAATGAATCAGCAACAATACATTATATTTGTTATTACAAGACCTTCTGATCAAAATTGGAGAGACTATTGAACCCATTTAACTACTAGTATTGATTGTGTCCTATTTCTTTTGCACCAATGGTTACTTATTTTATAGCTATAGACTAAAATTTTTACCATGAAAGAAAATAGTTCAGCTTATTACATACATTACATTACTCATCAGCTTCAACTAGCACTAATTATTGTTGCTAAAAATCATGCTCAAGTGGCTTAACTTTTTAACATTATTTCTAACTTGATAAATAATGTTGAGAGTTCATGTAAACGAAGACATCAACTGCAAGAGAAACAACATAATCAAATAGTAGAGAAACTACAAAATGATAAAATTTTCAAAGGTAGAGGTGTGAATCAATAGATAAGCCTTCAAAGGGCTAAAGATACACGTTAGGGCTCACACTATAGTTTTCTTATCAATATAATTCTTTTGTATGTATCTACTGAGGTTCTTAATATAATACTACAAAATGGATCAAACAATGAGCAAAAAGGAGAAGCTTATGACCTACTGGATGTCGTTCAATATTTTGATTTTTTTTCTTGTGCATATGAAGTCAATATTAGATGTAACAAATGAGTTATCTCAAGTATTGCGAAAAAAAAGATCAAGGCATCATAAATGTCATGACTTTAGTAAAAGTTTCAAAAGCAAAGACTACAGAATATGAGAGACGATGGAAGTTAAGGTGCTAACTAATGACACGACATGAAAACTCCACCCAAAACCGACCCGAAAAAAATCCAGGTTTGAGTTGACCAGTTTAAAAAATGGGTTATGTTATGGTCCTGATTCTTGACCTATTTGTAAAATTGGGTCAAATCCGGGTCAATCTGCTAATCTAGAAATGACCCAAACTTAACTCGTGTCACGCTTGCCTCCCTCGCCCCTGCTTCTCGCAACCGACGCTCGCGCTCACCTACCTCGCCCCCACATCTCGTGCTCGCAGCCTCACACCGCTCGCCCACTTGCACATTTCCGCACCGCGTGGTCCCGTCCTCGCCTGTAGTCCCGCCCACACGGCTGCTCGCACTCAATGCTTGCCAGCTGCTTGCACCCGCAAGTTAGCAAGTCCGATTTGGGTTCGATCAATTGAAGATGGGTCAGTTTTAGGTTAGACCCGAACTTGACCCAAAAACCCATTTTGACACCCCTAATAAAAGTAATATTTTGATAGTGGAAGTTAGTATTTTTTGCGAGAAAAATAATTAAATCATTCCAAATATGGCTGATAATTTTGTAATAAGAGGAAGATTGAGGCAGTGTTCTCATACAATTACAAATGAACATCAATATAAAATTTAATTATTTTATTCAGTTATAAATATGCAACTTTAAGAGCTTAATAATAGATTTGATGAGATAAACATTGAATTGCTTATGTGTGTGACATACTTGAATCCATGAGACTGGTATTCAACATTTGACAAACAAAGGTTGATATGTCTGGCTAAATTTTATCGATCGTATTTTTCAGATATAGATCTCATTATATGAGATAATCAACTTGAGACTTTTATAATTGATATGAGATCTAATGATACAATCAAAATTTTAAGATGAATTGAAAATTTTACATAAAAAATGGTGGAGACAAAGAAAAATAATGTTTATCCTTTGGTATTCTTACTTATAAAGTTTGCTCTGATATTGTCAATTGTTATAGTAACAGTCGAACGAGCATTCTCTGCTATAAATATTGTAAAGAATCGTTTGCGCAATTGTATAGGAGGCTCTTGGATGAATGATTGTTTGATTATTTATATTGAAAAAGTTATTTTTAATCATACTAATAACGAAGTGATTGTACAACGATTTCAAAATATAAAAACTCAGAGAAAGAAATTGTAGGTGGCATGTAAAAGGAATATGCATATCATATGCTCTTAATTGTAAGTTTTTCTTTATTATATATATTATCTTTTTGTGATGACAAGTCTAATAAAAAAAATTTTAAAACCGTCGATGTCAGTCTCAATCCGAATGGAAAAACTTGAGAGTAATTTTAAGATACATAATTTGTGCCCCCACAAGAACAATTTTATATCTCCACCATAGTATATGATCTAAAAATAAAATAGAAGTTTATGGTTTCTTTAGTGGAAAATAAAGCATATAAATGGACTATCAAACCAGAAACTCACCTTCCTTGCTAAATCTAAAGACTTCATGTATAGCTGATTGCCTGGATCCTGCAAGAAGCCAACATTATTTCTATCTTGCAAAAAAGGAAAGCAACCTATAAATATAGTCAAAAAGAAAAATGTAGATATAAATACCTCGTCTAGTGCCTGCTGGAACCACTGCATTGCCTTTGCAAAATATGGCTTTGCATCCTCAAGATCTTCAGTGTAGAATGCAAGAGAAGTTTGTGCATTGCCTAAGGTCCATATGACATCATGCTTCCTGGGGTTAATCTCCAAAGCTTCTTCCAACTTTGAAACAGCATCTAAAGCACCATACAACAGAGAAAATAAAAAAGAGCAAATTAACCCTGTCCAGCAATGATAAATTGGTTGATTGAGGTCCAAGAGAACCAGGTGCGCAATATCAGCAACAAAATAAAATACCTTTGACGAACTTTATTGAATCGGAGCGAACACTCTGGAACTGCGACAACTCAATGAGCACTCCTGCCCAATTTGTGAGATTCTAAAAACAACGAAGTAATAAATTAAAACGAAAACTAAGATAAGTATCTTCTTGTGAAAATCCGCTAAAATGCCAGAAAGTTAAACCATGCAAGAAACAAGAAGAAGCTGCTGAAGATACACAAAGAACGGGTTCGGGGTTCACTTCGACATCTAGGGGATTCTTTGCATAGGTGGTCTCGGCGTTCTTGCGCGCCTGCTCAAAAAAGAGGATGCGATTGAAGTCTTGCTGGCCCAAATCCATGGCTTCCAGGGCGCTGCAAGCAAGAAGAAGCGCTGGAATATTACGTTTTTTTTTCGCAAATTCCTTTGCCTATCGTTTGATTGTTTATTAGGGCTAGACCACGGAAAGTAAGGCATTGACCGGTCGAGTGGGAGCGATCCGAGCTACAATGCGACTGACGCAGACCAGTCCTGTAGTAAAGAGTAGTTTTAAGAAACATCCATTCTGAAAAAAGAGTTTCTAACAGAGAAAGATATATAAAAAATTTTCTTAAAATAGCTTAAAATAGCAGAAAAATGAGAAAAAATAAATTTATTGAGAACTTATTTGAGGAATCAAACAATATAGAAGAAATAAACTTATCATTTTAAAAAGTAATAAGCACAAAAACATCCGGTCAAATTTGGCCAAAATTAAATTATATTGATCTTTCATATTAAACAGTGTTTAGAGAAAAAATATTTATTATCAATAAAATTTTATGTTGAAATAAACATTTGAAGATTAATAAAAATTTACATCTTGATACATCCCAAACACCATCTTGATCTAGTATGAATCTTAATACATATTCGAATTAGAAACTTCTGAGAATAAATTCAAGATCATCTAAAATTCAATTTTAGCAAATTTATAGTCAAACTATCTCTATAAGATGAACTCAACAACATTGAAAATGATTCAATCATATCCCAAATGAACCCAAGCCAACGGTTTGAAGTGTAATGGGAAACTTTGGAGCATTAATTGGATAAACAATTGTTCTCCAAATATGGCATGCATATATTCGAATTGAGCGGCTCGATGAGATGAATCCAACAAGCTTAAGATCACTTGATTTTAACAAAAATTAGGCACATAAATGCTAAAGAATCATTTATAATTAAGGAAATCAATCTATATCATCTGATTAAATGCTTCAGATTTGCTCCATGTTTTCTTCATATTTGTTGCGGTCTAGATTATACGCGGCGATAGAGCTATAATATTGCAACTTAGTGTTATACGGATATCTAGCTCAGACAAAGAGAAATTTGAAGGTCTTAATGACGTCAGAATTCTGTGACCTTTGGCTTGTTGATTGTCTCGTCGAGCCGCTCGATTCGACTATAAGCATGTCACGTTTGGAAACCGTTTGGTAATCCACATTGTTGTTTGAACCGTCCAACAGCGCTTCAGATCCTTAATTTGGACCCATTTGGGCTTGGATTGAGTCGAATTTGGTGTCGTTGGGTTTGTATTTCTGAGATGTTCAGTTTGCCTATAAGTTTGATAAAATCAGAGTTCGGATAGTTCCAATTTTAATTTCAAAAGTTTCCAACTTGATTTTGCCTCAAGATTCATGCCCGATCAAGATAATTTTTTGATGATGTATCAATATTTATAAAACATGTCACTCTCAAAATTTATAAATAGACTCACTCTCTTTACATGGAGGGTGAGGAGCTTGAGCCCTTGGCTATAGTGGGAAGATAGCTCTAAGGTTGGCGCTGCAGCGTTAGACCCAAAATGATGTTTTTATATAAAATATATAAATCTATTTCATCTCCCCCCCCCCCACACCCCGCCCCACCCGCCTTAACTCCCTATGTTGTCGAAGGAGAAGGAGAAGATAAGGGAGAGAAGAAGAAGGAGAGAAAAATTATGTGGCCATAGCTAGGTTTCATCCATCAAATCAGTAGAAGATTTCATAGAGCATGAGACAAACTTCCAAATACTTGTCTCTCATTTCAATTTCAATAACTCTATAATAACTTACAACTAAAATATATTTTTCTTATATTTTATGACATTTTTAATGTATTTCTTTTTGTATGTTATTGTATGTTTTATTCTGAATATTTTAACTATAAGAAGTTAATTTTTTACTAGTTGATTTTCTCTATGATGGTTTATATGTGTATTGAATAATTGAAGCATTTATGGGTTTCATAATAGTTTATTTAAAGTCTTATTTGATATTCAATGAAAGTATTATTAAAATAGAAAACATTTAATGGGTAGGCAATTACACATGTAATATAGCTTAATGTTGGCAATTTTGGTAATTAATGCATCATCTTAATCTTATGTTAATGCCATGATCTATAAAAACACTAATTTGTATTACTCATGGTAGGACATTAGAGAAGTTCTAATCTCTAAAATGTGAAAAGTGCACTCTCTAAATGATACAAGGACCATCTTTGTCCTATTTTGGCCCCAACGGTCTTATGTGGATGTGGGAAAGATTTTGGCCCCGCTTGATATTAACAAGTGTGGGAGGTTGTTTTGTTCTAATCTATTTTGACCCCACTTATTGTATGCATGTGTGGAAAGTTGAATAGAGTTATAAGTAGAAGTGGAGTTATAAACAGGCATCAGCACTGCGCATTATATTCATGTATTACATACTCTAAATTTTCTTTTTAAATTAAGTACAAATAATATTCTGAATATACTCTGATAACTCTGAGACCCTTGGGTACAATCATTGTTCTTACAAAATAAGAAGGTTTAAGTACAAATACTATTATATGGCAAGTATATTTTTGAGCCTTTATGAAGTCTATCTATAAAAGTATAAGTAATAACTCTAAAATCAAGTGCTTTTTGATAACTGTTAGAAGTTTACTTTATGTTAGCATGTAGGTTATACTTTTTTAGTTAACTTAATATTTGAGTAACTTATTCTTAACAATTGAATGGATATTGATATTGGTGATAAGAGTGTGAAAGAAGTCTACTAAGCTTATATTTTATGAAAGTGGAAGGGCCAACAAAGTAGAGAGAGATAAGGGTAAGGTTATTTAGTTCAAGATATTCAAGGTATTATTTTGTAATCTAGTATTAATTCTATTGATCTATAATTTGCATGTAAGCTTGATTATTATATATAAGCTTTGAGAAAAGAAATTAGATTATGCTTAGGTTGTTATCATGATTTGGATTTCATAGTTAGCTCTAGTTTATTCTATATCATGGTTGAGTTAAAATTTAGGTTTAGGGATTTAATCGTTTCATTACATCTTAGGGCATCTTAAATTGGTATCATATCTATGGTTTGGAAGGATTGGATTGTAACCAGATATATAGGGAATGATCTATGGTTTGATGTTCAAGGAGATTAAGATTTAGTTTAAAATTTTTCTAATAGTTTGTAATAATTATGTGTGTAGTTGAACACTTTCATTCTTGATTTTGATAAAAGTGTTGTTGCATCATAAACCCTAAGAGTAAGAAGCTTCTGATGGACAGAGTTCTAGTTAGGCTACTAAAGTTTAGAGTATTATGGGGGTGATTATGTTAGAATCAATGATGTAGTTCGCTAGCTTTGTAACCCAGTTGATGAGTGAGGCTTGGGGTTGGATGGCTAGAGTTAAGAAAGATGTGGAAGATAAATATTTATAGCTATTTATGAGATTGAAGACTCTTTGATTTCAAGGTTTAGAGAAGCCTCGAGCTACTGAAGATTAGTTGATAAGGATAGAGTAGTATTTTGATAGCATGGAATGTTAAGATGCTAGAAGAGTTTTGTTAGTTGTATTCTTATCATATGTAGAGGTGGAGTGCTTATGGATAGTTTAGTTGAGGGAGAGATTTAATGGAAATCCAAATGTGAATATCTCTTAGGAAGAGATTATAGAAACTTTCAAAAGATGGTTTGTATTGCCTTCTGCCAGACAACATATACAAGAATCCTTTTTTAGATTAGTACAAGGGAACTAGATAGTGATGCACTATGAGGCAGAGTTCATAAGTCTTGTTATACATGCTCCAAATTGGTCAATACTTAGGAGGAGAAGTGTTATCATTTTCTAAGAGGCCTGAGAGACAATATGTGGCACCAATTAGTGTCATTTTATATTCATGACTTCTTTAAGTTCATGGAGAGTGCATGATTTGTGGAGAATAACTTGATGTCCACCCATTATAGGTAGGATGCTAGTTAAAAGAGTTTGGAGGGGAGCCCTCTAGGATTATAGTTAATGGAAAGAGGTTCAGGGTGAAAGGTGGAGATTCTAAAAGAGGAGGACATACCATATCCGGGAGTGTAGGAGGATCAATATCTTTCAGTAGTGCTTCTGTTTGTGGATTATGTATAAGAAGGCTTGCAAGTCACTATTTTATATATATGAGTCATTCTTTTAGGTGTGTCCAAGCTAATCACAAGGTTGTAAAGTGTCTATAGAGGGAACCAGAAGGCAGTCTAAAGATTGGATATAGCCATAGTCATAGATAACAACAAAACCCATCTAGAGCAACTAGTGAAGCTTTGTTGACCCATAGTGGAGGTAGATTTTGAGGGAGGCAATTAGGTGGATAAGTAAGAGTAGCCCAAAGAGACTCTATTCTAGTGGTTAGTATAACTCCGCTATAGCTCAGAGTTTATAGTCTCACTTAATAGGAGGCAAAGGAGGCATTGGATGTGGTGATAGGTATGACATCTATATTTGCACTAACTTATTGTATTTTATTTGATTCTAGAGCAAGTCATTACTTTATGTTTATATATGTGCTGAATGAATTGGGTCAAGTTTGAGAGTTTCTAGCTTCTAGTTTATCTATTTTATTGCGTATCGGAGATTCCGTAGTTGCCAGTCAAATCTGTATATGTGAAATTGAAATTCTAAATAAGAAATTTGAGTCAAATTTGATTATTTTACCACTAAAAGAATTTGATAGTAAGTATGGATTGATTTGATAAATACCAAGCTCAAATTTTATTTTAGTAAGAAGCCGATGAGCCTATGCGTTGGAGGAAAAGTATATTATTTTCAAGGTGCTACAAGTGTCTTATCATCCTTAATTTTTGTATTGTAAGTTGATAAGGCCTGGAGAAAAGGGCATTCTATTTTTTTCCCTTATGTGAGTGATTTGAATAAGTTAGTTAAGAACCTAAAGATTGTCTTAATGATGAAGAAGTTTCCTTATATTTTCCTTGAAGAGTTAACTGGATTGCCTCTAAAAAAGGTGGTAGAGTTCTGCACTGAGGTGGTTCCAGGAACATCTATAACAGTGAACAGTCCTTATAGAATAGCATCAAGAGAGAGTTAAAGGAGATCAAGGGTCAATTGTAGGGGTTGCCATATACATGTTTTATCAGGCCAAGTGGATTACCATGGGGATCTCCTTTATTATTTGTGAAGAAGAAAGATGAATATTTGTTTATGAGTATTAGTTATC